CATCAGAGGATGGGTACATGGTGGCCATAAAGGGATGGACATGGTCAGAAACAATGCTCAGGTAGGCCGTGGCATTTAAACGATGCCCAATTGGCACTAAGGGGCCTAAAGTGTGCCAGGAAAACATCCCCCACACCATTACACCACCACCACCAGCCTGCACAGTGGTAACAAGGCATGATGGTTCCATGTTCTCATTCTGTTTACGCCAAATTCTGACTCTAACATCTGAATGTCTCAACAGAAATCGAGACTCATCAGACCAGGCAACATTTTTCCAGTCTTCAACTGTTCAATTTTGGTGAGCTCTTGCAAATTGTAGCCTCTTTTTCCTATTTGTAGTGGAGATGAGTGGTACCCGGTGGAGTCTTCTGCTGTTGTAGCCCATCCGCCTCAAAATTGTTGTGCGTGTTGTGGCTTCACAAATGCTTTGCTGCATACCTCGGTTGTAACGAGTGGTTATTTCAGTCACTGTTGCCCTTCTATCAGCTCGAACCAGTCTGGCCATTCTCCTCTGACCTCTGGCATCAACAAGGCATTTCCGCCCACAGAACTGCCGCTCACTGGATGTTTTTTCTTTTTCGGACCATTCTCTGTAAACCCTAGAGATGGTTGTGCGTGAAAATCCCAGTAGATTAGCAGTTTCTGAAATACTCAGACCAGCCCTTCTGGCACCAACAATCATGCCACGTTCAAAGTCACTCAAATCACCTTTCTTCCCCATACTGATGCTCGGTTTGAACTGCAGGAGATTGTCTTGACCATGTCTACATGCCTAAATGCACTGAGTTGCCGCCATGTGATTGGCTGCTTAGAAATTAAGTGTTAACGAGCAGTTGGACAGGTGTACCTAATAAAGTGGCCGGTGAGTGTACACTACTTAGGTGAAAACTATTCTTTCTTACCATGGTAAATTTGTCTAAGGGACTGTTCAAAGGCTTCATAAAAAGTTAAAACACACACACCTGCACTTAAAACACTCAAAATAGAGATAAAAAAAGCTGTTTTCACAGACACCATCTGCACCTCTTACTATTTTCTGTTCATTGCGACGCCTTGAATTAAAATCTATTTCATCTGCCCAGGACCTGCCGGAAAGGAATGCCAAGCACATTCCACAAGATTATTAAGCAGATTTTCAGCAAAGTATAACGACTGAACATCAACAATCAGTCAATACAATTCAATGCAGAATAGCCATGCTTATTTACTTTCACCGAAAGCTTATTGTATGAGTCTAGTTCAAAAACTCTTGCACATGCATTTCTAAAAGACACTTTTCATGTTGAACCGATCTAAAAAGTCTTAAAAAATGTTCATGTGTATCTAAGCCAAGAGTGAGCTTCTAATCTCTGATCAAGGATAATTACAAAGTGGCCCTAGACGACCTATTTGTGCTTTGAACAGGTTGTCTCAGACAGCTGTGTTTAACTTCACACATATAAAATGTGTGTGAGGTCCATAATGTTTCTTTGATTAAAAGCAAAGCACTATGGTGTGGGATATGACATAAACCCTGTTCTAAAGGCATGCCCTGCTGAAAATTCTTCAGAGATTAGGTAATGGTGAGAGACCAGCTGTGCCGCCCACTGTACATGTGCACATGTCTTTGGTTGAGAGAAAAGAAGAGAGAAAGAAAACTAAACAAACATTTTGCTAAGTCCAACCTTTACCATCAACGACATGACGCTCCTTTTTTCAAATATGTAAATCTATTCAAAAATACATTAAAAAATGCAACTCACACATAGAAGTGCATGAATATATATTTATTTAGCATGTTTTAATTTCTGGTTAAAAATGTATTTTGGGGGGGGGGGGGGGTTGTACTGTCCTTAGATCATTCATAAAGAAAAAAGCTTGAAATTAGCTTTAAAGGTGCCCTAGAATGTTTTTTATTTATTATTTTATAATGTTTCCTGGGTTACCCTTATAATGTTAGTATGTTTTTTAGATAAAAAATAATCATAATTTAGAAATAAATGGCATTTTTCCTAGCCTGCTTTTAGCCTCTGATATGAATGCTCTGTTTGAAGGGGCGTGTCTGCTGTGGGATTCAGTGTAACCGCGGCCACTGCTGTGATTGGCTGACATGCTTGCATATGAAATAGCTACGCATTACATGTGAAACTCTCTCCCGAATACTTTTACAACTGCTATTATACGTTTTTACTATAACAGCTATCGAGATTAACGAATCGTGAGATGTTTTTAAAGTATTTAGATCTATTCCCATCACATAAAATGTTGCCGTGATGAGCATTGAGCAGATGACTGTGTTGATCGTGAGAATGAAGATCTTATCATTGCAAAGCAGTTTCTGCACTCTCTCTGCTTTCACCAATGCAAACACGATGATGTAAATACAGTAAGAGCTTCGTTGTGCAGTAACGTGCGTCATTGATTTCATAACGAGTTTGGCAAGTGTCCAGATAAACTCGCGCTGTGTGGAAAGATTGTTCTTTGATCGCTTTCTGTATATAATTTGTTCAAAATTTAAATACGATTATTTTCATCCTACTAAAAGAAACGATGTGAAGCTGATATTTTAGTCACTGGCTTGACTTACTGATGCATAAACAGTATTGAACGATTTTGAGAGAAAGATTACCTGTCTGAACTTGAACAATTACACATCAGAAAGTGTTGCTTGGTAGCTCGATCCGAGGCCAGCTCTGTATTGGCCCAAGTTGAGGAAACAGTCGGTGAAATGTTTGGAAATCTCCAGAGAAAATAAAATGAACCCATTGTTTCTTCAGAGGCTCAGATGAAGAAACTAAAAAATACTTTTGTGTTCATGTGTACATCCACACTGAGCAACTGCCATGCTTCGGCTGCGCAGTTCCGCCTGGCATTGAGGGCTGGCATTATGCAAATATTTGGAGGCGTACATATTAATGATCCCGACTATTGCGTCACAGTCGGTATTGTGTGGAGAACCGACCGTTTTTCAGGGGTGTTTTTCATAAACGTGAAATAAATGAGAACGCGAAAACAGTCCAGTTTGAGATTCATTCTATGTCATGTCCATGCACTGAACTCTTGTTATTTGACTATACCAAGGTAAATTCAATTTTGAATTATAGGTCACCTTTAAGCCGAACGTCAAATGAATAAACAGGAAAACGCATTACAAGTAACTCGAGTTATGTAATCAGATTACTTTTTTCATGTAACTAGTAAAGTAATGCATTACTTTTAAATTCACAAAATGATTCCATAATTCATTTATATCCCATGATAAGGTTTCTTTTCAAGAATGCGGGTCATGCGCAACAAACTTCCGTATTTGGTATATATATATATATACACTCACCGGCCACTTTATTAGGTACCCCATGCTAGTAACGGGTAGGACCCCCTTTTGCCTTCAGAACTGCCTCAATTCTTCGTGGCATAGATTCAACAAGGTGCTGGAAGCATTCCTCAGGGAGTTTGGTCCATATTGACATGATGGCATCACACAGTTGCCGCAGATTTGTCGGCTGCACATCCATGATGCGAATCTCCCGTTCCACCACATCCCAAAGATGCTCTATTGGGTTGAGATCTGGTGACTGTGGAGGCCATTTTAGTACAGTGAACTCATTGTCATGTTCAAGAAACCAATTTGAAATGATTAGAGCTTTGTGACATGGTGGAAGTAGCCATCAGAGGATGGGTACATGGTGGCCATAAAGGGATGGACATGGTCAGAAACAATGCTCAGGTAGGCCGTGGCATTTAAACGATGCCCAATTGGCACTAAGGGGCCTAAAGTGTGCCAGGAAAACATCCCCCACACCATTACACCACCACCACCAGCCTGCACAGTGGTAACAAGGCATGATGGTTCCATGTTCTCATTCTGTTTACGCCAAATTCTGACTCTAACATCTGAATGTCTCAACAGAAATCGAGACTCATCAGACCAGGCAACATTTTTCCAGTCTTCAACTGTTCAATTTTGGTGAGCTCTTGCAAATTGTAGCCTCTTTTTCCTATTTGTAGTGGAGATGAGTGGTACCCGGTGGAGTCTTCTGCTGTTGTAGCCCATCCGCCTCAAGGTTGTGCGTGTTGTGGCTTCACAAATGCTTTGCTGCATACCTCGGTTGTAACGAGTGGTTATTTCAGTCACTGTTGCCCTTCTATCAGCTCGAACCAGTCTGGCCATTCTCCTCTGACCTTTGGCATCAACAAGGCATTTCCGCCCACAGAACTGCCGCTCACTGGATGTTTTTTCTTTTTCGGACCATTCTCTGTAAACCCTAGAGATGGTTGTGCGTGAAAATCCCAGTAGATTAGCAGTTTCTGAAATACTCAGACCAGCCCTTCTGGCACCAACAATCATGCCACGTTCAAAGTCACTCAAATCACCTTTCTTCCCCATACTGATGCTCGGTTTGAACTGCAGGAGATTGTCTTGACCATGTCTACACGCCTAAATGCACTGAGTTGCCGCCATGTGATTGGCTGCTTAGAAATTAAGTGTTAACGAGCAGTTGGACAGGTGTACCTAATAAAGTGGCCGGTGAGTGTATATACACATGTATATAAATAACGTCTTACATTTTTTTTTACCATAAATAATATATTTAAAAAGGTTTTTTTTCAATATAGTGGTTAGGATGTGTTCATGTTTTCAATGTGTTAGGAAAATACGTTGTTACTTTTTACTTCATGGTTACACATGTTTTTCAAAACCATATGAAAACCACATGAATACAAAGATTACATTTCAAAGAACATGGCACTTCTGTTTTAAACTAAATTTTTCCTTTTATTTAGTATGGACATTCTTTTTTGACCCAAAAACTAAACAAAAACTGCAGTTGTTTACATGTCGGTCAGACGTCTCCTTCTGTCTAAGTGGACAGCTCTTGGCCAGAATAAGCTGCAATGAGAACCAGACATGTTGCAAGTCCACATTTCTATATTTCATATGGAAATCTGCCAGGCAACAAAACAAGCTTAACAAATACCAGGTGAAGTGCGATGTATAGAATGACGTTGACACTTACAGGCTGGCCTCAGGTGGGTTCACACTGTCCTGAGGGGACCCGGCAGATCTAGACAGGCTGTGTTGATTGCGGAAAGCCTCCCGGGCACGACGTCGCCTTTCTCTCTCGATCTCCTCTGCATCTTCGACACTTCGCTGGGCCGTCACTCTGCAGGAAAAGAAGTGAGAATGAGCCCCTTGTTATACCAGATACATTCTTGACCCAGATGTGGTCGAATGATAAATGACCCCCTAGCCTAGAGTGCTGTTGACTATGATACATGGACCTCTTCAAGAAATCTCCAACAATAGTTTGTTTAGTCCCTTGTTTGAGATTTAGAGCCGGTGGAACATCTGCTCTGGCATTCGACACCGCCAATGCTCGAGTGACAGATGGGAGGCCTATGCAAACTCACACTCAAGATACTGAGGCATCTCTGTGTTTATCTAGCCTGTAAACATACACAAACATGCTCTTCGTGTCTCCAACACTTGGAAAAGTAGGCCAACAAACTAATTTCATTTGCCACTTGAAGCTTTATTTACTAATGTATTAACTTTGCTCTTCCTAGATCATAAGGGGGTCTATGTTTTTGCAAAAATGAAAACTCTATAATCCTTTACTCACATACCAACCTGTATGACTTTTTCTTCTGTGGAACACAAAGGAGATATTTTGAAGTTTGTGTGTGTTTTTTTTTTTTTGTCATCCATACAATGGAAGTCACTGGGCTCCAATGTTGTGTAGATGCCAACTTTCGCCCAAAATATCTTTTTTGTGTGTTCTGTAGAAGCAAGAATGTCTCAAAAGTCTTGACGGACACGAGAGTTAGTAAATTATTTTTGGGTGAACTATCCCTTTAGGCACTCAGTCTGGATAGTCAAGTCAAGTCACCTTCATATATATAGCGCTTTTAACAATATAGATTGTTTCAAAGCAGCTTTACAGTGATAATAGGAAATTAAAGTAACATAGATTGTTTTGGCTTTACTGCAGCTCTAGAATAAAGTTATTGTCCAGCTAAAGTTAGTTTAGATTAATTCACTCCCGTCGCAACGATCATCAGTTATTAACTTTGGGGCATCTAACACGACACCGTTCTAACAGAAAACCCTTAATGCGATCCGGCCGCTCATTTGCACAAAACAGTGCCTGGTGGCTCGGGAACGCAAACCATGAAATGGGTTCCAAGAGACGAGCCTTGAAAAATGTATAATACATATTTTTTTAACCGGAATTATCCCGACAACATTTTATCTGTACAGAGGTAAAGGGAAGGGAAGGAGGCCTTCACAGGGGAGAGACTAGTTGACACTTTAGGACTGCGTTGTCCTCGTGTCCAGGCGCAGGTCCTTCATCAGATCCAGATACGGCCTGGATGATGCGGACTGCGGTAAACCTCGGGATAAACAGAGAGACTACTATTAGCATAGATGCCATCCTTCTTATGATGTAACAAGTACATCAGGATTTATGGGAAATATTTTTTTTCTTCCAGTTGCGCTCTATTTTTCTGGCTGCTCTCTTAAGGGCCTGAGTGTGCTCGTTGTACCACGGCGTTGAACTATTTTCTTTACTCTTCTTTAAGCGCATAGGAGCAACTGTGCCTAAAGTGCTGGAAAAGAGAGAGTAAAAAGTTTCTGTTGCAATATCGAGTTCTTCTAAGCTATCTGGGATGCTGAGGAGATGAAACTGATCAGGAATATTATTAATAAAGCACTCTTTAGTGGCAGAAGTGATAGGTCTAACATATTTGTAACACAGAGTCGACTTTGTAGCCTTTGTAGGCTAAATGAAGTATACATGAGACTAGATAATGATCTGAGATGTCATCGCTCTGCTGCAGAATTTCAACGCCATCAACATTGATCCCATAATATTAGATCTAGAGCAGGGGTCTCAAACTCGCGGCCCGCGGGCCATTTGCGGCCCGCGGGGTGATATTTTGTGGCCCCCTACTTGACATTAAAGTTTAATGTTAGTGCGGCCCGTCGTTGCGTGTGCCGCGTTTAAAAAAAAAAAAAAAAAAAAAATGTATCCCTTATGGGCTAACATAGATAGTCTCGTGACAGTTTACGGTGGGTTTGTTGTCAATAGTTGTCATAGACAACCGCGAAGTACAAACATACTGCGCCTGGAAAAAATGAGCGCGTCGCTTCAATTATGAGCGCGCTTGCCGCGCACCTACATTTGAAATAACGAACTTGAGCGCGCAAAATATGTGAGCGCGATATGTGAACGGGAGCGACGTGTTGGAGAGAGACCCTGCTCTAAAACAATGTGAGAATAATCATTTTGAGCTTGTAATATGTGTCCAACAGGTTGATAAGAAGGTTTGGTTTGATTTGTGCAGTATTTGCCTGAGACACTATACATGTGTAGAAAGAATTCAATAAGACGGGCAGACATGACTGCAAATATTTGTATTTCAAAAGCAATAATTGTTTTTCTAAGTATAATAAAAGGAAATGTGCCTTGAAAACATTCAATATCATTAATGTGTTGTATAAAGAAAATAAAAAGGACATAAGCAAATATAAATATCACAAATATGAGTTATAGACAAAGAAAGTTTGTAAAATGAACTTCAACTGTCAGAAGGACAGCTCATGAAGAACCAATCATGTACAGAAAGGAATGTTCAAATTCAGAGGAACAGTTCAGAAGAAACGTTAATAATAAATATTGAGAAGATTGGATCAGTTGTGCTCCTTTTTTGGAATACTTGAATACTATTTTTTGTGGAATACTTGATGCGGCCCAGCCTGACCCAGACTCCACCTCCAGCGGCCCCCAGTTAAGTTGAGTTTGAGACCCCTGATCTAGAGTATGATTACGACAATGAGTAGGTCCGGACACGTGTTCTCTAACTCCAATAGAGTTCAGAATGTCTTTAAATGCCAATCCGGATGGATCTTTTTCGTTATCTACATGTATATTAAAATCACCAACAATTTGGACTTTATCTGCAGCTAGTACTAACTCTGATAGAAAATCAGCAAATTCTTTGATAAAGTCTGTATGGTGAACTCAAACGTGATTTATCATTTACACTAGATAGTGTTACATTAGGCACCAACACTTCGAAATAATTATATTTAAAACTAGACTTCTTAGTAATTCTGAAGATATTACTATAAATTACAGCAACACCTCCCCCTTTGCCTTTCAGACGAGGTTCATGTTTATAACAGTAATCCTGGGTGGTGGAATCATTTAAAGTAATGTAATCGTCTGATTTTAGCCAGGTTTCTGACAAACACAGCACATCTAGGTTATAATCTGTGATCATATCATTAACAATAAGTCCTTTTGAAGTAAGGGATCGAATATTCAGCAACCCGAGCTTTTGTTCATCCGTATTATATCTGCTTTTTAATTGTTGCTAGCAGATGGTCGGTTTAGCCAGTCTGTCTGCTTCCTGACCTGGGCCCCAATTCATGTTTGAGCTCTAAGACTATGTGCCATATTACTAGAAAGAAGAACAGCACCATCCCAGGAGGGAGGAATACCATCTCTTTTCAACAGGTCAGGTCTGCCCCAAAAACATTTTTCCAATTGTCTATGAATTCTATAATATTTTGCGGACACCACTTAGACAGCCAGCCATTGAGTGAGCACAGTCTATTAAGTGGGGATTGTGGATCAATGGATGGTGAACACAGGTCACCAATGACCCTCAAAAGAATTTCAGGCCACATTACATCTGAGGTCACAGGTTGTTCCAATGGCTTTACAAATTGTCGTAAAAGCATGTCGACTGATCAATATTGTCTTATCGACATTTGTGAACATTTTTATGTTCCACAACTTCTTATTTCGAGTTTTTTATTGAATGATCTACAGTATATAGTGGTGCTTCAAAGAACTAGAAAACAACATGTTGAAATGAAGAACGTATGTAACACCGTGATATTTTTAATTGCCAAAGAACCACACAGCAACACAAGAATCCTACAAAAGTTCTTCAATGAATTCCTTGATCAAAGGACCCAATTTAAAGAGTCATTGTTGTCACTGAAGAAGTTCAATGAGTAACCTTTACTGTTTTAAAGTTCTCAGAAGGTTCTGCTGACCAGCAGATACGCTTTGCTGCAGCAAAAATCTTACTTTAATGCAGGAATTTGACTTTTTGGAACTGTTTTCACTAGCAAAGGAAAATATACAATCAAACTGGCTGAATTTAGTTTTAAACACAATTTACAGAATATTAGTTTCTTATTTATTGAACTGTTATAGAAAAGCACTTGCAGCTGGGTCATTCCCTGTCAACTCAACAAGACGACCTTGATCGGCTAAAAATAGTGTTTTTGATATTTTTTCTGGTGAAAGAAACGCATAAATGAAGAAGAAAGGCAAAATATTAAATGTCATAGGTGTATATCTACTGAGTAATCCACTCTTTTATAGGGGGAGGGGGGGGGGTCAAAATGACAAATATCTCTGAAACTGATTCAAATACAGATTCTTACAAATACACTTTTGAGAGCAAGTTATGGTGCCTTAATTTGACCATTTCAGTGTATCTTTGGCACTGAGATGTATGTTCTATGCAATTGTTTTGATAGAGAGAAAATAATACATTTCAAGTTTCAACATTATGTAATCTTCTGATATTCCCCTTTAAATACAATAAGTATCTGCTGTTTGCAAAGTGACTTTAGTGAATTTAACAATTTAAGGCCCTTTAACACCAGACGCGTAACGAAAAAGCGAAACGGAAAAGAGAATAGTTAGCGTGTGAATAGTTCGCGTGCGAATAGTTCGCGTCAAAACCATTCACATCAGCCGCGACGCGAATTTGCGACGTTCAGAGCTTCAACATTCCAAAACTTTCGCGCTGACAGCTGAGAAAACACGGACACTTCATCATCATCATCATCATCCAGTGAAGACGAGCTTTTCTTTTTCTTTATAAAGACAGAAAAGAAGGTTTTGTGTGCACCCAATCTTAAAGAACAGAGAGTCTGAAGGGGACTATGCTAATCGTGTAAAGTAGCTAAAACTTTGCCACAAAGAACCGGCCAAAGTAAGGATTATGCATTAAACATTTGAATTGTTTATTAATAAAGTGTTTTCTGTCAGTTTTCGGTATGAGACGTGCTCCAGTTCACGCGCCGGCGCCTCCGTGTCCTAATTATATTGTCTACTATATTTGCTTCTTATTC